GAATACATATACACAACTCGTAGACGTTAGTTGGAATCTCTGTTTCCTTTATATGCACAACTCTCTATATACGCATATGCACATTGAAACAAACAAAACATAAAAATGCATTGACACAAATGCGTATGTTTTACGTAAACTGTGTTCTACGAATCGAGACCCCCCAACGATTGTTCGAACCTTTGGTTATTTTACTTTAGAAATAAAGTTGAATTACTTTTTCTTTATCGTAAGAATTAATCAAATTATTCATAGGATTTTGACAATGAATTTGTTTTTAATATATATATAGATTTTATAAATTAAATCATTATTTGCAACGACGTGGACTGGAAAAAGAAATGCAATTTTGTTTAATCAACCTCTATCAACAAAGTTAGCTTTTAATAATTGTTTTATTTTCAATGAATATCATTGGACACGTGCATTTATATATACATATATGTATGGTTATACGTGTATGTAAATGTAGAAAAAAAGAAGAAGAAAAAAAAAACCAAGAAACATCGACTTCGTGACGGGAGATCAAACTTAATTTAACACGGAGCTTGATTTTCACGGAATAATCTTTTTAAAGTTATACTCGCGTGGTAAAGTAAATTTTGCGGTATCAAGAATAACACGGAACGATGCTCGAGAATGAATAACCGAGGTGGTGGCGAATTGTACCGTACCTGTACAAAGACCGGAAAGCAACCCCTATTTGTATTGCTAGACCGCAAACATAGTGCGTAGTTACTGTACATTGATGCGGCAAATACGTGTATACGTGTTTACCACTCCTTCGATCATTACTGATTCTCACTGAATTAGTAACGAAATCTTTGCGGATAAGTAGTAACAATGTGCTACTATTATTAACTCTAATACTGTTTATTGTATGACGATTAACAGGCACGTATGAAACGTATGAATGATTTATGAAAACAAGTATGAATATTCTATATAATATAATCATTATTATGGATATTGGTTTTGATTCGTTTCATTTAATTAATATTCTATCGTTATAATTATTTTCAAATATAATATATTTTTGAAATTATTATAAGAAAGAAAGAAAGAAAGGAAGAAAAATTAAAGGCTCACATATACGTGATTAAAGCAATTTTTTTTGTTCTTTCTCAGATTTAAATGAATATACAACGGTTATATATAATATATCATTTTTTTTTTTCTAGTAATAAAATTGTTCATTTTTTTTTTGCCTTCTTTTATATCAATTATTTATTCAGTAATATTTGTTTACGTGGAATATTTAAAAATTTATAAGATACGTTCTGTTCTTCTTTCATTATTATTATTATTATTATTATGATTATGATTATGATTATTACAGCTCGTTAAGTAATCTTGACGAACCGTAGAACTGAAAAGGGGGATGAAATTTCCTGCGAATGTTGGATTTCACTTAGTTACAAACTCGCGAATTATGTTTGCAATTGCAAAACGTTCCACGATAATTATGCACACATTTCAGAGATGTTTCCAATACATAGGCATAATTATAATGCGGACTAATAGTTCGCTCGTCGATACTTCGATTGTGGACCGTTTACGATCAGAATTCTGGAATGTTCTGCGTGCACGGTGTCAAATGTAATAATACATTTACAAACGTATTTCTATATATATATATATATATATATATATATATATATGCGAATGTATATGCGAAACATGAACGTTGTGAGAAGCGTGCGCGCAATTGTAGCATACATGTATTGCGTAATACGGATTTGTACCTAGTATTGCAAATATCATAGTATGGATTATATTAGTAATATTCTGTGGTTTGCAAGCAGTATGTTCTGGATGAGCTTATGTTGCATATGGACAGATTACTTTTCATTTACTTTTGTTTGTTCATAATCAATTTGTACATTTGCATTAATGATACAAAATATTATTAACTTTGGACGGAAAAAAAATGTACGATAGTTTGATTTTTATTTGTTTTCTTTTTTTTTTTTTAATCAACTGTGTAAATAAAAACACGATTTTTTTTTCATTTTTATATTTACAATTTACGGTATTGCAAATGATCACAAATTGGTCTTGTGTATTTGACAAATTTAATTTCTCGGATATTTTCGAGTATCAGTACATTTATTTCGGTTCAAAATTTTCTTCAAATAAACGACCATAATTTGGTGCATCTTTTAAATCAAAATGATTAAATTTTAATGTTGAAAATTCGTTTAACATAACGTTTCTGTATACGGTAAAAAATATTTGATTACCCCTTGCACTGCATTATTACATTTGAAATAAAAAAGTCAAATATGAGAAATATGGTAATTTTGATTTTGATTTTGATGCGATGCTAAAAAAAAAAAAAAAAAAATAAATCTACTTAACAGATCAAAACGTAAAGAAATTTTAAATCACGACTGAAATGTATGTTGTCAAAATGTAAAACGATTTTGATTTTTAATGTAAGGTTGAAGTATGAGCAAATGCGAGTAACGAAATCTCTGTGAAAAAAAAAAAAAACCAAATTACTTTTTGAACAACTTAATTGACTCGAGCGACAGTGATTCGTTTGTCGAAAAAAAAAAACAAACAAACAAAATGAGAAAAAAACCAACATTTGATTGATAATTATTAGATTCTATTTTTTTTAGCAAATAATTGATCTTAAATATCACCATACGAAGTTAAGGGATTTTAAATGAATTGATTTTTCTTAGTAAACGTGGTTGATTTGAATTTTTATATGAGTTTCACATGGATTTTATGTTGTGTTTTACGAAACTCGTAAAACCGATATCAGTTTTCATCAGTTAGCAGAATAATTGTCATACATTATCTTGTTTGATTTTATTTTCCTATTTTTTTTTTGTTTTTTTTTTCTTCTTTTCCATTTATAAAATGGTACACTTTTATATGTGTAGAACTCTAACGAGTTTTATGTATAACAACAACGGATAAAATGCATATGAGGATGAAGAGCAAAACATGCATTTTGAATTTCGAAGCTTCTAATCGTAGTTGCCGGAACTTAATCGGTGGACGATTCGGTGACACACTCGACACTAAAACCATTTCCATGTAATGCTCGAAAATCGTCTCTCGACGACTTATCCCGTACGTACGATTATCATTCCCAATAGCAGATACAGGACTTTAAGAGACAACATTTTTATTCGCGTTATCAACTTGTTCGTTATGTTTGTATAAAGAATCAAACAAAGTTTGCCAATAGAAATTGTTTGAGTAGTTGGTTTATAATTGAATTTGTTTATTGTTCAATTTTTATCATACCAAAGTTGTCGACCTTTTTGTAATGTTGTTGAAATCTTATTTTCTTTTTTTTTTTTTTTTTAAATATAGTAAGATGAAATATGTATACTGTGTATATTACGTTACGATCCTACAATTATTGCATACTCCGAAATGGATTATAAATATTACAGTCAAGATATAATACACAAACAATAACTGTATCAGATATTACATTGTCCTGATATTTTTTCTTCGTATTCGTAAGATAATATATAATATCGTTATGACGTAAATCGAATAAGTTAGAAAACAAAATTAAACTTATAAATCAGGTTGTAAATTTCGATGAAGTAATGATACCGACAGGAGGGATCAATTTTTTACGTTATAGTTAGGAAGTAGTAGAAAGCGTGCCAGGGTACCAAAAGTTCCACTCAAACACATCGAAGTTAATCGAGAACTTATATATACGTATACATATATATATACAAAGATATACACACTTTTAAAAAAAGACAGTAACTTTAAATCTAGAAAGAAATAAATCCATACATGTGCGTATATACACATATTATTATTATATAAAAGGGTAGAAAAAATAAAGGAGAGAGAGAGAGAGAGAGAAGAACTTGAACTCATCGTTGGATCCTTACGTGCAAAATTTCGAGAATGGCGATCAATGTGAGAATGAAGAATGGGGAATAGAGAGAGAGAGAGACAGAGAGAGAAATGAAGAGAGAGAGAGAGAGAGAGAGGTCTCTTTGGTTGGCGAGCTGTCGCGGGGTTTAACCAGAAATAGAGAGAGAGAGAGAGAGAAAGGGAGAGAGAGAGAAGGGGGTAACGTTTGATATCGTTGGCCACGGCATTCAACGGGGCTAACTCTATCCCGGCAAATTACATTTCCATCCCGCTACGTGATAGGTGCAGCAAACATGCCCGTCAACGTCCGACCGAGTTTCTCCCTGATTAGTTACACTCGACGTGGATTATATTTCCGAAGCAATTAATTAACAAAGTTTCAGCGACTCGCGTTTAGCTACTTTCCCGCGAAACAGTTACCGGAGTATTGTACATTTTGAAGTGTGCAACGTGATCTAAGTATATATACTATATATATGTCGTGTTTCTCTGTATCTAGCTTTGCGTGACACGCCGAGAAGTGAAAAGGGGATGGGTGAGTTAGGGTGAGAGGAATGATGTGTACGTATGTGTGTAGATGTGTGTGTGTAAGAGAGAGGGAGAGAGAGAGAGATGGGGAAAGAGATAGGTGAAATTTCTTGCGAACATCAGGACAGCTTGGGAAAGGGTCGAGAGTGAGAGGGTGAGAGAGAGAGAGAGAGATAGAAGCGACCATCGTCGACGCATCACGTGGTATACCCTAATGGAAACTGTCACCGAAACGTCTCTGGTAAATCCTCCACCTATATGTCCGTGGCATAGCACGGATTCGCATGGCATTTCCACAGCGCGACGTATCCAACGTAATACTGTGCGATCTATGACGCGTCATCATCAAATTTTCCATACCTTCGTATTTATGTGCCACCCTATTTCGATATTCATCTTTTATTTTATCTATATTTTTCCCTTTATCGTTTTCATTCACCACCATTTCGTTTCTTATTGAATTTCTCGATAAACACGAATAAAAAGATCTTCGATCAAAATCTTTTTCTTCTTCTTCTTCTTCCTCTTATTATTATTATTATTATTATTATTATTATTATTATTTTTGTCTTTTTCTTATGTGTTAGAAGCGTTGATTTACTCACCAGAAGAGACTCCTGGGACGACGACGGGTCTTCTTATTGCCGTCCCGTAGGGTGAAAGTAACCCCAGTTCGCACATTCGCTCGCTTCAGGTTCTCTTTTTGGAGTTATACGATACGTATGAGAAAGGATCACGTTGATGACATTTCTTGCTTTCACCTTTCCCCATTTTCGAAAGAAGGAACCGTTTTAGGATAAATCTTTATGAAGAAGATACTTGTTGCAGGCTATCTTATCCTTACACAATCGAGTTGTTTAGTTGTTCTTTGCAAGTGATCATGTCACCAAAAGATCATCAAAACTAATGTCTTAAACATTTCAAAATCACGATTATTAATAGAATGAATTTTATTTAATAAGATAAATCTCTTCCTTAAATCCCATATAATAGTAGATCTAATAATATTAATTATTATCGATGGGTTTTAGGATTATAATTATAATGACATATTGTGGATTAACGGACAAATCCTCGGAGTTAACGCGTGTACGCGACGTAGAAGGCGCGCTGCCTAGTCGCAGACTGAACTTACGATCCGCGAGTAGCATCGATTTCGATGGTGGGAGCAAGGGCTATAACACACACACACACACAAACACAGAAAGAGAGAGAGAGAGAAAGAGAACCAACGCAAGAGGGGCGTGCTGTTAGAGGGAAAAGTACGTAGGAGGGGATAGGATTGCTCGACGAGAGGAGCAGTCCGTTGGCTATACGTGATCTTTTTGTATGTGTATGTGGGTTGGTTAAGAGCGTATTTGTATAGTTATACCACCAGGTGACACACGTACGAGGGTAAGCGCGCGCGCGCGCGCGCGCTCTAGGCGCCACGAGGAGCCACGCGCCGACACGCGGCGCAGCTACCACAGGAAAGAGGTATAACGTCAGACCCCCTTCTTCTCTTTGAGTAGCAGCTTTAAAACGTGCTACTGGAAGAATGGTCTAGGCTCTAACGGAATAAAAGAGGACAGAAAGTCTCACTCTTTTCTACTTACCACTCAACAATTATTTTCTAAGTTTGATTTTGTTTTCTTTCATAGTTTCTGTCTATTTGTTTGTTTGTACTTAAGAAATTATAAGTTTAATACGTTTACTGGATTGGTCGTTGGTTATTTTAGATGAAAAATGATTTCTTGATTAGGTGCGGCCTACTTATGACAGGGAAAAAGTACCGTCAGACACCTTTATGAGTCGAAGCTTTAAAACATGTTACTGGAAGATTCATTGTTTTCTGCTTATCTTAATATTTATTTTCTACATTTGATTTATTTTCTTTTTGTTTGTTTTTTTTTCTATTAGGATCGTTTAATACGTTTGATTATTAAGTTTAAAGATTATCTTTTGATTAGATGTATTTATTTGTCATTATATTTTCAAATTATATTTTTTAAAGTTTCAAATAAGATTGAAATTGTGGTTTATAAATAATTCTTAAAGAAAGAGATGTTGGTTAATTCTGACTTTTTTTTTTGCGAATGCCAAAATGAAAATTTCTCAGCGGGTATTCTAAAAAGTCATGTCTGGAAAAAAAAGCACAAATACACTGACGTCTCGCGAGAATCGTTGTATCCATTTTTATAACGAAAGTAAAATATCAAGATACCATATTTTTGTCTCCCTTATTTTATCCAAGTTTCCTTTTAAGAGGAAGAAAAGGTAAGGTTTAGTCGGCAAAAAGGTGAAAGCTTTATTATCAACTCGAAAATGAAAAGACTCGGTTATACGGACTGAAATTTAATAATAGTAATACAGTTAATCATATTTAAGTATATAATTATTTTGTTCTTTTTCATCTGACGAAGAAAAATGATTCCTTTGATGTATAGACGGTGCAAATAGTAAATTACCACAAAGTAGAGAGAGAGGAAGAGAGAGAGAGAGAGAGAGAGATAAATCATTAAGCAAGGTTAGATTAATTTAACATTAAAGGATTTATTATTATACACTTCGCAGGTGGTAAAGAAAATTTTTCGAAATAACACAAAAATACGTTGTGGTACACACTATCCTACAATACAATATCTTAACAACGAAACCAGAGATTTTTCATACGTTTCCATTACATTATTCTCGCGTTTGTTCTTTGCCGAATGAATAGACGGTGTAAAAGCAAACGCGTGTACTATCTCGCGTATCTCGTATCCATTGGCCCCCCCCCCGTCTTCCCCCTTTACACCCCTGCCCCCACACACTGTCAGATAGGTACGTCAAGTTTATCGAACCATTAAAAAAGTTCCATGCAGAAACTGGTTGGTGGGCGCCGTACAATTTCGAAAAATTCGTAGAATCCCAATTGGATGACGACGTTACCACCGAGTCACCCGATCCGCCCATTATTTCTTTTTTTTCTTTTATTTTTTTTGTTTTTGTATTAATGTTAGTACGAGAAACTCTCTTGCCATATAATTTCCTACGGTCTACTTTCTACCGTATAAATATTTCGTTTTTCGTAATGCTTCGTCGCGGTAAAAAAAAAAAAAAAAAAAAAAATAAAAAATAAAAAAACAAAAAATATACGGAGCATGCGTGTACTCGTTACAAACCCCCTGAACTTGTTCTTTTTTTTTTGTCTTTCTTTCTTTCCTTTTCGTTTTCTCTCTCTCTCTCTCTCTCTTTCTCTCTTTATTTCAATACCAGCACATTACACTATCTCTGTATATGTAAAGTTCGTTAAAAGCACCCGTGGGAATACGATACTAGCTACACGAGGCAGGCTAGGATGTTAAGATTTTCGTAAAAAGAAGCGACGCGGTCGGGCAGTTCCAATTAAGCTTACTGGACGGTCCGCCTCTAGACAAATATTGTACAGGCAGCGTGCGTCCCGATGAAGTTGCCCGGTACTACCGGTATGACGTGCTATATTAAATATTCGTCACACACCTAATACTAGGAATGTATACCTCGTTAACGATACTGTACAGAGAACAACTTGGACTGGCATCACTCGTTTCAGTCGACGTTGCTTACACTCCTTTTATTTTATGTATTATATATATACGTACATACATATATATATATATATTCATACTTTTTCAAACGATTTATTTCATTTTCTTCCTTTTCATCTTATTCTTCTTCTTTTACTTCTTCTCCTCTAGTTTTTCGTCATTTACCTGCCTCTTTTACCTATGATTATATCTGGAATACGTTCAAGTACATCATTGGAAAAATATATTACTTTTAATATTGTTAATTGTGATCTTTGGAATAAGTTACTCTATCGATAGGATAAGAGTGTAAATAAGGACTTATTGATTTAATAAAGATTTACAATTTGTGTATACGTGTAACAGGTAATTTAGTTAAATATCCGAACAGATTTTGGATAGTTCGTTAATTTTATTATCAAGAAATTATTTTATAAAGGTCTTATTTAATCTCTGATATAAATTGTAATATTGGAGAATTCCAATATGACTAATTATTAGAGGTTTCTTTAATGGTAGATTAATAATAACTCTAGTTATTTCCAATATATTTATCTTAAAGAAGATGATGGTAATTGTAATTAATTTTATATCATTATTTTAATAATTAGTAATAACAATATTATTAGTATTATTACTATATACATACACCTATATATTAGTGTTAATTTTATATATGTTAGTGAGTAGTATATATATATAAGTATATAGATATTTTTTCATTTTTGTCTTCTTTTATTAGTTTCAAAGTCCCATTTCGTCGATATCCTCATTAAGCTTCGTCGTCGTGACGACCGTAGGGTATCGACGTCATCGTGAAAAAGGCGAACGCTCCTTAATTATTTCTGTACTCAGCGAATTAGGGTGACTTGTTTTCGGATATTACTTTTCGCTTGGCAGGGTGCCGTGATAAATCGCCGATGAGCACGCGACCTTTCAAGTTAAAGGTATAGTCCACTTGGTCAAGAACATAACGCAATTGTAACTATTTATTATACACTTTTATCATTTTCCTAATCGAAATAATATATACTTTCTTAAAATCACAAATATACCTATATATATATATATTTTTTATTCGTAAGTTTGATTCCAAAATAGATTTGAATAATTTTTTATTAAAATTGAATTCGTGTAAAATGACTACTTTAAATCGAAAGATTTATATCGTATAATCCAATTTAAGGTCACAGTTCATCCGATTAATAATAATACGTCGGTAAGATTAAAAATACTTGGTTTAAATGATTAAAGTCAAATCGTTGATACGTGTACGAATAAACTATCGTTGAAACTAAATTCTCAAAGTCAGGAATAAATTGAACATAAGAGAGATCGAGGAAAGGGTTGGTAGAAGTCGGTGAGGAGGGGGGGGGGTGTAAATATTGTCGGACGTTAATCACGAATTATGTCTCCTAGGTATCGGCTCATTGACATTGTTATACTAGGTTGTCATGCTGGAACATTCCGTGGCTGGAGTATATAGGAAGCTTTCGAAGCTTGTATCGCGGTTGTCTAAGCTTGCATTAATTATGAAAGATTCTCGATATCCATCGGGACCTCGGGGAAGGGTCACCCTTCCTCTCTATAACGACGTAATACACCGGATAGCTCGTAGGACGGGCGTCCATTAACTAACATAAGCTCCTAATCCCTACAGTTGAGTTAGCACATGGTGCTACTGTCTGGCCACGAGTGGTCCAACGTTTACAACCACATTGACGATTGTCCAACCTCTCTTGTCTATCTTAACCTTATCTTTGGAAGGAGTGAACCAATGGAGATTTTGACCAATAGATTTGCATTTAATTCTGAATAATTGAAGAACGTGTTGTTCCGTACGTTGAGCAATTAACGATAACAGATTATTGCCATTTGAAACAAATATCCTATCCTATAATTCCAATTCTAAAATATGATTATCTTTTTTATAACTATTATATAAATTCAATTTTAAAATGTTATTATATTTATAATTAATAAATTACTATTATCTGACAATTTGTTATACGTATATAAAGTTTCATGAACATTTCGTGAAATACTGGTGTGTGTGTGTGTGTGTGTATGTCTATGGGATAGTAATATAATATAGTTGAGTTATACAATAACAACAAGAACAACAAGAACAACAACAGTAACAAAATAAAAGAGAAGAAAAAAGTAGAAAGATAAACTAGGTAGAATATAACATCGTAATTCTATCGGAATCCAGTGGCATTAGAAAGAGCGTTAGACCGGATGGTCTAGTCCATCGGTTGGTTTCTTCTTAAATCTTCGTTTCTATAAATCCGTTTTCTCGTTCCACGTTTTGAACACAATACTGGAATTGACCGAGAGATGGGTGGAGATTCGTATTAATGATCTTCCCGATACTTCGCATCGTGCGGTTTTCACTCGTGATGTTTCCACGCGTATATATATATATATATATATACAATGTCTACGTGTATCCTATAACAGTATGTACGTGTATAGGTATAGATCCCCAAAGAACGAGAGAAATGATACTTCCAAAAGTTTTATCGAGCCATTGAATACACCAGGGTATCCTCCAGCTTTCAGTTTTCACAAATTCATCGATCTGTCGTTGAAGAA